GTTTCGTATACCACACCAACACCTTTACTGGATTAAATTAAAGCCGTGCTAACTACAGCTAGCTCGCGGTTGTACTAGCATGGTGGCTACAGGTTATGTCACGCTAAGGAAGGAAAATGTCAGCACTATAACTAAACAGTTTTGAATAAATTAAAGAGCTGTATGAAAATTAATTTGATATTTTAAGCCCAACGTGGCAGAAAGCCGTGCTGAATTTAACTTACCCCCCCGCAAAGAGATGAAGCAGCGTGTCTTTCTGTGCCATGTTTTTCTTTTTTTCTTCTATAAAGAGCAGCTAACCCTGACAGACACTGTTATAATGTTTTAGATTGTACAGCACCTTACTGTAACCAGTTTGTGGAAATAAAGAGCCAGTAAAAGGCCTTAATCCAGTCTATTATCCCATCACTGAAGTATATGGGATCCTGTTGAAGAGAGAGCAGGGCCTGTGAAAAAAAATACACTAGTGGGAAAGAAGTCATTAAGCTTTTTTTTTTTCTTTAAATTGCAGCAAATGTAACATTTAGGTTAGGTCCAATCTTGTGTCTTTTCATCTTGTGACCAAGTGTAAAGAGATTAAACTAATAGTAATACATAGTACAGTACACAAACAAAACATGCAAAGGTGCCCCTAAGTCAATCCAATTTGACACAGTCCAAAAAGTCTATACAGGCCCAAACAACTAATGTACAACCCAAACTTTAACCGAGGGAAAAAACAGTGGATGGCGGCTCAGCAGCATCCAAATCATCACTAAAAGATACAAACATCTTACATTCAGTATGACAATCATTTTATTATTAAAATGACTATCTTAACTATTTAAAAGTACCTTTATTAACATCCAACAAAAGAACTCTCCTGGTTCTAGAGGCCAGCAGGTGATAGGACCTTTCATCAAGTAAGGTGGGACACACACTTTCCCAGGACTGATGACCGGTACTATTGCTTGGACCTAAGAAGATGTGGTCATTATTGGCTGCACAGCTTTTCTGACAAACATTTTGTATCCATTTACCTTCTTGTCTGTGCACCAAACCCAGATTTGGCTTAACAGCTCAAGTGTA